GCGTCCAGAGCTCTTGGCAGATCCGACAAGCGTTGCGGCACGACCCAGTGCCATTTCGCTTACCAACTCAAGTGCACCAGACACCAACAGCGCTATCTTAACCCTCCCGCGACGGAGAGTTTTGGACGATAATCGCCCAGAGCAAAAATCATTTTCGGCTATTTGCGACAATTTTTAATATGAAACTATATATGGGATCTCCGGCGGCGGTGCTTCATTAAAACTGATGTATCAGCAAGTTTTTTATGAGCTGAACCATTGCAAACACCGTTGCAGAGGATGCATCGTAGCATTTGGTGTAGTGGTCTATATGCTGGCGTCGGGAGCACGCATGTTTGCGCCAGTTCAATCCCGCAAAGGGCCTTTTGCACTCCCTTCTTTTTGGCATTGCGCGCTATTTTCAGCATTTTTGCCGGCGTCGATTGACCTCGCGAACGGAGTCCGTGTTTGCGGTCGCAGAATCGCCGTTCGGGGCTTGCATGAATAGAATAATGTATAAAGTGTCCACGCTACCGAAGTTTGACGTTTCAACCATCGTTTATCGTCGAATAAGGTTCGAAATCATTGCATTGGGCGCCATCCCTGGTACCTTGGAGGGCCAAAGCTCCTCGCTATAGTCTTCGTACACCTTGCTGGGCGAGTTGAAGCGTACCAATGTCCTCATCGACTAATGCTATAGAGGAATTGCACCACATATGACGGCGTTGCGCTTGAGAAGCGCCGACGAGGAAAAAGCCCGAATCATGCTTGCAAACCTGCGGGAGGTCTAGCGTGTGCATGCCGAAGACAATGTTTGCTTGTGAGTACAATATGCTCGCGGCCGTTGTCCAACATCAGCCATGATAATAGCACGAATGAAAGAAGCAGCTCAAACGGCACGATTCCCTTTGTGCACTCTGCACAATCATGAAGACGAATGCGGTAAAAGACTTCACGCTCCATGCGTCACCCGGCTTGTGTCGAATAAACGCTGGGGCTTGCTTTAGTCACCGAGCGCAATCAGCACGATCGGGCACCACTCTCAACTCTGTACAATCGTCAGAGCAACCACATCACTCGAGCAGCGGGTATCGATGACACCAGCGACTGCATTGCCGTTGTGGAACGACGGAAACTCCACTACTCATACGTGCTGCGCCCCCTTTTCCGAAAAAACACTGCTCAAGCTATCCAGCCTCTATAGGAAGACCGCCCGCTACGGCTTGCAGCGTCGTCCCCGTGGTTTTCGCTTTATGCATGTATGCTCCCTTGCTACCGGTACTGATGCGACGACCGATGTTCTTCGCCCCTGAGCCAACCATTCAAAGAGCATCTCACGCACTGCAAACCGCGAATGCTACATAGAAGGCATAGAAGGACTCGGAGCGCGCAGAATGACAGTCGTGGTAGTACTAGGCCCAGCATACCCTGCGTCCCTTTCTCCTCCTTGATCAAGGCCAAGTTCGTAACATCGTTTGGCTCCTGACACTTGTCGGTCGTGCATCCTACGGGCAGCTCTTTGGCGTTGCAGCCGCGTCGCTCCTTCAGCACGCGAGGCTTGGTCTCCATGGCTTGGCGCTCGTCGGCGTTGCCGGCTTTGCGGGGAACTGTTCTGTGCCTTCACGACCAATGATGTGTCCGACCTCCAGCCATTGACATTGCAGCCTCATTTGCAATGTTGCGTACGGATTCTATATTCCCTTATATGGTATGAGTGCGACGATGTCTCACGCTGACGTGGAGCATCCATGAGCAGTTCACCCACTCACTGAAGGGAATTATCTGACACATGGCTCACGGTGAATTTTATTGCGCGAGGCAACAGCACGAAAGCGACAAAATATTTTTTGACCTCGAGTATTATATGGCCAATCATCAGCGACCTGCACCCACAGACGACCAATCAAATGCGGCAAATAAAAATAAAATAAACTGCAAAGCACGTGAAACATTTGGGCGATTATCGCCCAAAGCCATAATGCCCAAACCGTCGCGGGAGGGTTAAGGTACAAAATACATCACGACTCCAGTGCCAGAATATACCTTTATAAAACTCATTGCTTATATCTTTTTCCAAATGAAAAATGATTAAAGGCGCTGCAACATACTCGCGAGCTGCATGCTCGTCGGACGCGACTCGGGGGC